TGAAGCCAAGACATTGAACTATTCAGCGTGTACTTATCTTTTATAGTTTTTCTTCAATTTCAGTTTAAGTTTCATGCTTTGAAACGTTCATGTTTCTGTCGTTTCAGTTTATTTAAACTCTTCTAACCTTATTTAATGTCTCTGTTTTTACCTGTATAGTTTCTCCCCACTAACACACAGTTAGTTTTAAAATACAACCCACAAAACAGTTTAAGATTACAAAAAATTACCTTTTTTACATTACATTTTATGCCTGTTCCCTTCTTTCTCTGTATGTCACCCACTCATTAATACTCACACACACTCAGCAGGTTAGTATCAATTGATAACTGTCAGAAATTTGAATGAGCTCTTTTCTGACAGAGATATGGACCTAACTGTATCCTTTTCTCTTAATGCAGTAAGAGGCAAATATGTCATGTAAAATTAAATAAAAGAGTTCAAATTATGCTGGGTGGGAATGTTTAGTTTGACAGTAGGTGTTGCCTAATATCATGACAAATCCTAATTTTATCATATATGTGTGTGTGTGCGCGTGCAAGTTTTTGTTTTATGTTGACCTGCTTTGGCTTTTTCAGAGCCATCAGGTTTTAAAAAGCTCATCTGATTTAGCTTTTGCAGAGTCCATTGATCAAAGAAACTTATTACTATGGTGGGATTTCCTTTTTGAAAACACCCTTGCTTTATTGTTAGAGACAAATCTTTTACACAAGTTAGAAAATAAAGCCACCTGCACTCATTCTTCAAACAGATAAAAGAAAGAGGAAGAAGTGTTACCTGTTGATGTACTTGTTCTGCAGTTCAGCTGATCAGAAATTCACCAACCCCTCTGATACTTATACCGGCATTTCCCTTTGCACACTATAGACATCCAGCTTTATGACCCTCAACAATTTGACTAAAGAAAGATATGATGTCTGTGAGCTCACTGCATCAGTCCAGTACATTCAAATTCCAGCTGCTGCTACTCTGGCTGTGGTTCAACAATTTACATACTGGATATGCACCTCTTGCATCTCTTACCTTAACCGTTTGGTTTCACACCTGATGTTAGCTAACTAACATTAATAAGGAAGTTATAAGGAACAATGCAGCTGCCTGGTGAGCAGGGGGGGCATGGCTCTACCGTGCTTTGAGGATTACTATCTGGCAGCCCAGATCAGACTTCTAGTGTGCTGGTGTAACTTTAAGTTTGAGGCAAAATGGAAGGACATTGAGCTTTCTTTGATGGATTTCCCAATACAGTCTGTTCTGGGGTCTCTTGAGAGTTTGCCACAGGCATATCAGATGCAAAATTTATGTGTAAGTTTTTCCTTGAAAAAATGGGCAGATGTGATTAAAATTTTTGGTCTTAACAGGGAAATAGGGTTGCTGGGATGGCCAGCGTATCTCCCACGCTTCCTTCCAGCATTGTTAGAC